CCCTGTCCATCAAATCTGCTTAAACTCCTCACTCCTACAGTATAACAGGTTTTCTGTCAAATATTTTACTGATGACATCATCAGAGTTATCTCAATGACATCATCAGTTATCTCGATGACAAGCATAATGATGTGTCATCAGTGGAAAGCCCTTTGAAGGACTTCCTCTAACTGTGATATCTGATAAATGTGAAGGAGCTCAGTCTGATGCATCTGCATACCGTCGTACCACCGTCACTTTTTATCAGTGCATCATTAAACCGGAGTTTCCTGTAAACACACCGTCACTGTCACCCAGAGACAACAGGAGACTTTCTATAGAAACAGCTGCATCACACCGACCTACTGAACATCAACACCCCTGGAGAGTCAAAGTTTATCCCATCAACACTGTGCTGAACATGAAGCATATCTAAAAGTTAGTTAACCAGTAAAAAGAGCCTTTTCATCACTGTGTTACGTCTCTTTGCAGATGACGAAAATGTGCCTCGATATCATATTAAAACAGCTAAACAGCCAAACAGGATGAATGTTCAGAGGAAAAACTGAATATAAATATAAACACAAAATATTAATTTGTTCAAAACTGATTTTACTTGTTGGATTAACTTATTACAGATAGTTTTACAGCAGTAAATAGTTGATAACTTAAAAGAAACTGCAGAGCTGAGATGCCAAAATATGTTTGACATAATTCAAAAACTGTCTCCATTTAATGTTTTTACTGTGTAAACTGTGCAGCTTAGTGTGTATCGTGGATCTGTATCAAGATTGTCATGTGTTGATGTTTAAAAAAATACTATTGGCCAATGAAGCGTTATCACAATTTTGAATCTACCAAATATCAATATCAGTATCAGCCTCAAAAATTCAGTATCGGTTACGATTTCTCTTGATATTAAATCTTTTTCTACAACATTATTCATGTATTTGTACAACACTTTATAGAGATGTCCTGTTAGTGTCATTTCACGCAACAATGCAACTTGTTATACAACGTTTTTGGCGTTTTTGCAATTGTATTTAAAATAAATATTATTCAGCATTTCTCCACTACTCATTGGGGTATGAGTTATTACCTTATATAATATAATTAAACTGCATTTAAACATCACCAACAGGCTAAACCCATCCAAAGTCCAACAGGAGGCTGATAAATCAGTGCAGCAGTGTAGGAGTGGAGCTGTATCTGCCTGCAGCCTCCTGCTGCCTCTGAGCTGTGTACTCCTGTTGATTTCACAATAAGGCTCTGAATGTTCCCGAATAAACTCTTCGCACTCGCTGTTCATATAACTTTGTTTTTTGGTAATCAGTTGTGTGAATGAGTAGCAGGCTGTGTGTGAAATGCTTTTAAATGCAGACGCTCTGGGGCAAGAAAAATCTGTCATGACAGTGAGTCAACTGTGACTAATTACAGGCCCTGCAGCTCCACGCCCTGCCTCCTCCAAGAGCTGCGAGTTTCTGCGCTCGAAAAAAATACAATAACATCACAGGCTGCTGAGGAATCTGCCTCTGAGACTCCGACAGAACTTGCTTATCCTTGTGTGCATTATTTACTTGACATACATGTCCTCTTGACCTTGCATGCCATGAGCTATTTGCACAAATCTAATGTAAATATTATTCTCTGTGTGCCTGCTGTTGTACTAGTCCAAAGGTTGTTGTGGCTAATAACAATGAGAACAAAGGATCTTGGGTTTGACAGACTGGGGTGGGTGAGAGTTAATATGGGCAGTAAAGATGCTAATGTCCTGTATTATACTGTATCTCACACCAAGAAACTACTGCTGAATATAAAAAAAGACTCTACACCACCACCAGAGGCTGAAACTCTTCTCTGAATGCTGATGACATTCCTGTTGGTTAGCTGGCATTTTAACACACCACAGCAATTTAGCAGTTGGGTGCTCTGGAGTAAGTTTCACATTTGAGCAGTTAATTAACAAAAACACCACTGAACAACTTAATTCTTTAAATGTGCAAAGAAAAGCAGCTTTTACAGTCTGATTTTAGATTCCAGAGAGTAGACGTCCTGACATCATGCCATGCTTCTGTAACTCAATACAATCCCCCATTCAAGGTCCCATCCAGTGTAAAGGTCTCTGTCCATGTGTAGTGTGACTATAGATCAGGTCTAGCTTCTATATTAATACTGTGAAAGTATCAAAGCCTCAGTCCACAGAGAAATGCACACAGCCTGTATTCAGAAACTGAGCCTTAAAACCAGCCGTCAGGACTTCTGGAACTTTGTGATGTCACAACGAAGCAGTCACCAAGCCCCGCCCACCTGGACCCACCATCCAAACCTTGCAGGATTTGGTTTCTCTGAGTGTTTTTAACCTGAAAATCTGCTTTTTATTAGATCACTCAGAAAACAGTCAGCCAATCAGAAGAGAGGCTCAGAGCCTCCTCTCTTCTGATTGGCTCACCAACCTGTTGTTACTAGAGCTGCAGAGAGAAGCCTGAGAGAGGAGATGGAAAACTACACTGAGATGGTTTTTGGTTCTTAAAACCTCAAATAAATCTTCTTATGGATCAACACTTCAAAATAAAACACAGAAGAAGAGGAAAGTACGGAGCTTTAAGGGTTATTTTGTGGAAAAATTCAAACGTGTTCCAGGTATTAACAATGGATATTCTCAGACAAATGAGTATCTACTGCAGTGCGAGTTGGATTGTCGTTAATCAAGCTTAAAGACAATTTAATAACAGCTGTCATGAAAGTGTAGACACAGCACAACAGTGTGTGTTTTAAACATCAGTTTCTCAACACTTTTCCAGCTCTTTGTTTTACTCTCTGCTGCCTAAAATGAACTGTGATATGAGTCATGCTCTCAGTTGGAACGGTCATTTTTAACATTTGATTTCCACTAAAAAAAAGAATATAAAAATATTGCACTTGGCCATATTGATAATATTTTGATTAATTGTTCAGCCCAACGTCAGAATGAGGGAAAAAAAAATGAGTAACAGTATTTCAAGGGGAAAAAGACTCTGTATCTGTGGTGAGGGCCAAATCTAACACACACACACACACACACACACACACACACACACACACACACACACACACTAGCATCTGATCATTAACAAAATGTCAATATGCTAACTGCTGCTATCAAATGAGAAACATCAACAGAATCGACAGCCTGTCTTTAAAATAAAACTGTCTTGACTGGCTCTCTAACGGGACTCGTAGTAATTATCTCAGCCCGTTTCACCATTAAGGGTTAAACAGAGTCTGTGTGTGTGTGTGTGTGTGTGTGTGTGTCTGTGTGTGTGTGTGCGACTGTGACTCTGCAGACTCAATGTTTTACTGTCATGTCTCTATAGGAGGCACCAGAACATGACCCGGTCCACGGAGACAGAGGGCAGGTCGTCTCAGTCCGTCCAACTGAGCTGGCTTCACTCTGTCTCGCACTTTGTAATTAGAAGCGGGGCGGACAGACGCCTTCTCACACAAGCACAAACACATATAAAGGCTTTTCAAAAAGGATCCTGTCTCTGCAGCTTCATTCAGACTGGCAGACAAGTTCAAGATGTCCACCGCTGCTCCCCCATCCCCTTTACACCCCCCCCTGCTCAGTTTAGGAAACAACAAACAATGTGGTTGCTATGGGCTCATCTGGGCGCCCTGAGACCGCATGTCAGCAGCGGTTTAGACAGCCGGCTGCCAAGTTACAGACAGTTCATGTTTGTTTGGAAAAAGGAGGAGCAACCGGGCCTGTAAATGATCTCAATTGAGAGACTGCAAGCGTTATACTCCTTCCCTCCACGAGGTCAAACAGACAAGAGTCAGAACGAGCGTCTGCAAGAATATTTACAACATTTCATCACAAACCCAAACTCGTCCAGTGATAATCACACCAATGAAATTCTTTTAGATAATTCAGAAGGTGCTTGAGGCGGTTTTCTGACCTGAGATTCCCTGCAAAAACCCTCCCACATCACATTGGAAAAGATTTTCCTTGTCAAACTCAATGTGAAATCATATCTACGTACGCTCGCTTTCACAGCTGATCAGACCCTGACAGTGAAATCCTTTCAACAGACTCGTTTTAACAAGATCAAGAAAAGCGTGCGCAAAAAAACATATCAAACTACACGTGCAGCATTAACCCACGGCTCATCAGTGTCAATATATTCAGCACTCCTCACAACGCATGTCACATTATTATCACCAAGATATTTCTCAGTAGTTCGACCGGGAGCGCAGACATGAGACTTTTCATCGGGCTTTTAAGACGATGTGAAAAACAGATCACTGGTGAATTTAACTGCAACAGAAATGGCGACCACTACAGGAAGCTTTGTAGTTACTTAGTTAAAACAGAATAATCATCTCTAGTTATACATTTCACACGGTAACTGTGGAACAGTTCGGGGGGGGGTTCGGTGACTTTGCTCAAGGACACACTGCAAAGTAATTGTAAACATCAGAAACCCTCCATGTGCTTGTACATGCAACTGACTTTACTTAACAATACTTGCCCTGTTTGTCCGGCATCTCAGGAGGAATTAAAACCCTGACATTAGTGTCCTGACTGCACTTTGATAGTAGTTGCTGGTTTTATTTGGACTGTTGGTTGGACGAGAAAGATATTTGAATATTTTATTTGAGCTTTGGAAACTTCCAATGTCTGCAGATTTGCAGATTAAACAAGAATTTGTAACTGAAAAATATTCAGTAAATTAATAGTTAGTCGCTTTTCTATTCTCAAGATTGATTTAGAAACTGTGATCAGGTACAAAGCTCCATCTCATTTAGTAAAACAAACAATATGAACATCTGTCTGACCTTGATATTGTGTGTTAACGTTAGTCATCATGTAGATAAGTGAGGAAAAGACGCCGTGTGACAAACTACAACTAAAATGTTTAGATTTGGCTTAAGAAGCAACGACAAACCCTGTGATATATTGATCTAAATTAAACCTTTAAGTAGAAGTGGTGTTTTGAGTGAATTACAGCAGTTTCCTGGTGACGTGTGTCAGACTCACCAGTCTCTCCATTTCCTGCTCTCGGAGCCTCTCCTCTCTCTGCCGCCGGTGGTACTCCAGCAGCTCGTCCTCATTGTCGCTGATTTCCGTGATGCTGTTCTTCCTCTCCCTCATCCCAGGGTGGGGTCTCCCTGCGGACATCTTCCTGTGGGCCCTGGGGCTGGCTACAGGGGACGAGCCAGGCAGGGAGCCCAGACTGTAAGCAGGAGACAGAGTGTTTCCAAAGCTGGCCTTTCGTACCCCGGCACCACCGCCGCCACCCTCCATCATCGCAGAGGTAGGTGAAGGACTGCGGGCTCTGATCCCCCTGCTGCACATCGGCTCCTCAGATGTGGACCCACTCTTTCGTCTGAGCCTGGGACTCTCTGGAACAAGCTTAGCAAGACCTGAGGGACTATCTGGAGTCCTCAAGCTGGGGACTGTCCCTGGTAGCGCCCCCGGGAGTACCGGGACCCCTCTCCGAGCCATGGAGGGGCTAAGAGGCGGCAGCTCTCTCATAGTGCTGCTGCTCGCTCCGCCGCCTCCGTTCAGCTCCAGGTTCCTCCTGCCCATGCGAGGGCTTTCGGGGGGCTGCAGTGAACGCGGATGCTGCTGTAGCGGCGATCCTTGGATGATGTGGACGATGGGATCCAAGGGAGGCTGGAAGGCTCTGGTGGGCTGGGAAAGCTGCCTGGAGGGGCTGGAGGTGAGGGAGCGATCAGCTAGAGCGGGCTGATCTCTGTAGGGGCTGGCAGGCCTTTCCTGGAGCACCGTGGTCGTCTTGGTCCTGGGACTGGAGGGAGACGGGGATGAACAGGTGGGGAATTTGGGAGTGAGTCTGGGGCTACTCGGCACAATGTTTCTACTATTGAGAGATTCATTAGAGGACAGGAGGGCGGTCTGTCGGGGGCTCTCAGACCCATCTTGGCCCAGTCCTCTGCGGCTTGGCTTGGGGCTTGGAGGAGTTTCTATTAAGACTTTCCTCTGCAGCCTGGGGCTTTCCTGGACCTTCTGTCCCGCCCCACCGCTGCTGAAGTTAGGCAGTATGGTCCGTGGCTGGGGTACAGGCGGAGGCTGGGAGGTGAAATTGTAGCTAGAGGAGCGTACAGGCACTGGCGGCAGAGAAGAACTCTGGTCCTGGGGTCCTCCACTCGGAGATGGGCTGGTAAAGCTCCCACTGCTGGCCGCTGAGGGTGAGGACAGGGGAGAAAAGGGAGGGGATGTATTCTCATAGCTGGACCCCACGGACATGGCCCCTGGGCTGGTGGGAGGGGACAGCAGATACCGGCCCCCTCCGTTGACCATCGGCGACAGGGGGGAGTGAGGAACCGCTTGGCCTCCGGCAGGCTTTTTGGCCTCCAGGGAAGAAGGCTGAGGGTCGTCCATGGCTAGGGAGTCCATGATGTCCTGGAGGTCCTTCTCAATGGAGCTGACGATCGCACTGTGCTCGGACTGGACTCTCTCTCCAGGAGCTGGGGGAGACTGGGCCGGACTGGCCTGGTGATTCCCATTGACCAAGCTCTCTGTGTCTGACAGGGGGGAGAAGACAGAGAAACAAACATCAGGCTTTGGTTTTGAAATCAAAAGAAAACCGAAACAAAGGTCCGTGAGCAACGTTCAAGACAGCAATCCACTGGTTGTGGGGCGTGCAGAAGGTTCAGTGTTTAACTTGGCAACGCCATGCAACGCCATAAAGATGAAAGCCCACATTCCTGGTACCGACTTCCTGACGCCACAATAAAACCTTCAAAACTCTCGGCTGCATTACCCAAGCTGGCCTTCCTTAACCACCTTTCACCTTCTTGTCAGCACCCGGAGAACATGACCACACCAACACAGCCCATGTCAATCTCCGTCGTTCGTCAGCACAAAGAGGTCGAGCACACTTCTCTGAGCTCTTTATATACAAGTACCTTCAATGGCTCTTACTCTGAGAGCGTCATCTATGCTTCACCCACCGTCTATGATGAGGTCTAATGCAAATCAGCCGGATGACACAACCTTACCCATCTCCTCCCTGAGCGGTACAAGGCCATTAAACAGTTTCAGAACCGTTCCCTGTCGAGAACCTCCACGTCGCGTCGTAACCTTGTCCCTACTGTTCGAGAACCATCGTCGAATCCATGTTCACCGGACCAGCGTGGAAACCGGTCAAGCATGAAGGCAGAGATAGGATTAGTGGTGAGGAAAGAAGGAAGGACACAGGCGAGGAGATGAACGGATAGACAGGCCCTGTGCATTGGATAGGGATCAGGAGAAAATGTGCCTACATAACCCAATTACTGTGTGGCCCGAAAGCAACGTAGGACACAGGCCGGGTAATCTAATCTTTACTGTCTCTCTTTAATGTCAGCATAGTAGATTATTACAGCAGAAACACACGGCCACGTGGGAGACTCACCAGCGTGGCCTTAAGGCAAGGATCAGGACACAGATCAGGTTTTATTACTGCTAAATGAAATCCGTTTAAATGCACTTCTTGTCTGTTCCAATGGAAACACGAGGGTAACTGCAGCGTGGAGTCGTCAGTGCTAACACTGAGAGGTAGAGCCGTCGTGTTCAGCGGTGTTGTAATAACATTAGGAGAGCATAAAAACTGTCTGTGCAGCGGAGGAAACGATAAAACAAACACAGGACAGAATGGCATTAGATAGAAGAGTCAATTTAGTCTCTGTTGTGTGATGATGTCAGAGGGAGACGTCCCAATAGCAAAACTCTGCTCTAAAATATAGAAGCTTCACAAATAATGCATTAGCTGTGCTTGTTCAGCAGAGATGGGAGCAGCTTCCTGCCTGCTCCCCTTTAATGACTCTGCCATACAATGAAGCTCTGCCTTCATGACAGCCTGAACACAATCAAATCTGAATGCATATCCATGGATATTACACAGCAGTGTGGTCCTGGTCCTGCAGGCGGTCACGATGGTACATTTCATCTGTTGGGCTCCAGCATGTATGTCAATGTCACATGTTTGTCACAGAAAACAAACCCGCTGGATTCTTACGTACAGGGTCAAAAAAAAAAAAAAAAAAAAAAAAAAAACGAGGGGGTGGGTGGGTGACAAAAATAAATGCATCCGTTTGCTGAAGGAAAGCCCATGCAATGATGTCATGGGATACAGACCATCGCCTCCAGTGCACCATGCAAAGCTTCATTTAAAAATCCGCCAATTTAGTGTCAGCTGACTTGCCTGTAGTACCGCGACTCTGACACGACATGACTCGAGAGATTTTATTCCACGCGACGACCTCTACAATTCGGCATTAATTACATCATCAATAATAAACATACGTCAGCAGCATCTGCCTTCCCCCCTACACATCCCTCTATCACGAGGACACACTGTGACTCAAGCGAAGAAATATGTATCGAATTAAGGGTATATTTATTGATAACCTATACGAAGGATAAAGACTGAAGTTCCAGTGCATAGCATTAAGTGTGTGATGTCACACGCTGTGTGCACGCTCCTTGATAAACGACAGAAAATCAAACAGTCATATACTGGACGGGATCTGGCGTGTGGCCGGTTCGTATCACTTCTCTCAGGCATCAAGCAGGAGGGTTACTCACATGAAGGAATAAAACAGCGACCCCGGTCAATGTCAGTGCGGTTCACTTGCTATGTGACACACATTGAGGCCCACATCCTCCGGACACCGGTACCGGACCGGCTGTGACGGAGCCCCGCCGAGCCTGGCTCCACACACGCCGAGGGAGAGCTGGAGACTCACCACCGAGGTGATATTTCAGCCGGGGGTTGGGGTGCTAGGCACCGCCGCTGCCTACGGTACCACTGGCGTCAAGTTACTTAGAACGTAACGCGGCGTTTCCGGTTAGAACTTTCAAAATAAAATTCTAATTTAGTTTAAGGGGTCGTGGAAAATACTTAATACTGTAGATGTGCTGTTCTCGTTTACAACCAATAAGCAATAGTTCAATGTACGTTTTAATGTCCTTTTCAGTGTGACTCTGACTTTTAAATGAGTATGTTTATCACTAACATTGTCCCAAATATTTTGAAAGGAAAACAAAATTATGGCATTTCAACTGTAGCTCCTACATTTCAAGGACACATAGGTTCAAACATAAGACCAATCAGCTCAGAAAAAATATATCTCCTGAATAAGCCAATCCTTTGAAATGATTAAATATTGTGTTGTATTTTGAAGGCAAAATCGTCGTACTTCCGGTGTCATGGCTAACTTGATGTAGCTCTTTCCATCCAGGCTGCTGTGAACTACTGGGAGTTTTACAGCGCTCTTTTAAAGAGTCACAGCAGTTGACTTAATGGCTTGTCGCTGTTATTTGTTTCTCTAATGCAGATTTTAGATGAGACAGGAGACATGCTTTTTATGATGCGTTTTAGAAACAGGTGCAATCACCAAGGCAACATATTAGTTTAAATAACAAAAGCTTCCAAGGAGAGGCTGCAAGAAAAGAGTTTTTTTTTCTTCTTTCTAATGGAAATTAATTCCTTTAAATAAATAATAACTGAACCCACAACCGTTTTTATTTGACCATGAACGTCTTTGAATTTGTTTGTATGAAAAAAAAAGAAGCTTTTGCTGGATTTAAAATCCATCATGACACATTTAAAAACTAGTGGTGGAGGAAATATTCCAATCTTTCACTTGACTAGAAATACTAGTAAAAATCCTGCAGTGAGATGCAATGAAAATATTTTTTATTTATGTCACATAGGTAGAAAATACTATTACCAAAATGTATCAAAAGTAAAAGCTCTCTGTGTCCGTGTCTGTTGTTATAAGTTATATTACTGGATTGTTACGTATGTGTAAGATGAATTTTTACTGCAGTAGTTGGTCAAGCTGAAGTAATTTTTCAAACTTTTTTATATACTATATAAAGTAGTATGAAATGGAAATACTTAACGTACAAGTACTTCTAATGGATATTAATGCACAGTATTTTAATAAATGCACATTATTATATTCTACTGCTGTTCAAAAGTCTGCTTGAACCTGATTCTGTACTTTCAGAATATGATACAGCCTAAACGCACATAAACTCAGAAGTCCAAATAAAAAAATTAATTCAAGTAAACACAAAAAAACTAAAATTTTTAATAGGTTATGTGTGTCATTCCCTCTGGCTGAACTCTAAATAATAGTAGAGACCTTATGTGAAATATTAAAAGGGATGATAATGGGGATTAAACTGGTTTAGAAATGGAAATTAAAGGGCAGGACAGAGGTTCTCAGTGTGTTGTCAAAATTATCTAATCCTGTTTTATTGATGGACACTTTTTATTGCATAATGAAATAAAATCAGAGATTCAACAGCCATATGGTGCCGCACTGCAAACACAATAACAATCAACTGCTTCACAAACATTCGGCTCTGTCAAGCAGCCAGCGACAGATACAGCGGCCAAATCACAGAAAGATAAAGGCCTTTTGTTGAAAAGCGAGGCGAGCACCCATCCAAGGCAGGTGGGTGGGTGCAGGAAGGGACAGAAGGGGAAACCCAGGGAGGGAGGGAGGGTGGGGAGATGGCAGACAGTAGAATGAAAGTGGAGGTTTATAAATAGTTTGTGAAAAAGATACTGTAACCACAGCCGTCGGCCACTTTAAGTAAGCAGCTCAGGGTTCACAAAGCCGTCTGCTGGCCGGGCACAGCGGCACAGGAAACGTCCAATCAGTGAAGAGGTGGTAGCTGGAAGACAGCTGGCTGAAGACAGCTGGTCAGTGGACCCAAACTGACCTGGCACAGCTCAGCAAAACCAAACAACAGACAGGTGAATGTGAAAAATACAGCGGCACTGCAGAGCTGCGTGTTCACATGCATCACATCAGGCGCATAATGAGCCGTCGTCAGAGGAGCGCCGAGATCAGCCACGATGCAAAGTATCTTTACAGCTGATCAAAAGCAATTGATGAAACAAGTCCAGGTGCTCAGTAGGAACTTTAAACCGACTTCAACTGGACACACACTCTCACAACATCTGTACAACATCTGTCCAGATGGTGATTATCAAACAAACTGCAGCCAAGAGTTTTTTTCCCCCTCAAACTTCAACATCTAAATGTCTTTTTTTTTTTTTTTTTTTAGTTATTGGGGCAGTTCAGGAGGTAGAGCGGGACGTCCACTAATTGGAAGGTCGGCAGTTCGATTCCCGGCTCCTCTTTGTCCACATTTCAAAGTGTCCTTGGGCAAGATACTGAAGCCCATGTGAATGTGCAGGTATGGTAGAAAAAAAAGCTCTACACTTGCAGGGAAAAGCACTTTCTGAATGGGTGAATGTGGCTTCCACTGTGAAGCACTTTGAGAGATCAATAAGACTAGAATAGCTTAAATAGAAAGTACAGTTCATCTAAAACACTGCGATTTTTCTGCTGACCTCTTGGTACGTGGCCTTTTCTATGTGATGCATCCTGATGCTGATGCTAAAGAACATGAAATCTTTTGTTCTTTTCGAGCTTCGGGACAAATCATGATTTTAATCTCTTTTTTTCATGTTAATGCAGGACTATAACTATAATACATTAAAGACCTTGCCCACCTACAAGTCTGTCAAAATACAGGTTATCCCATACAAGTTTGATTTATTTAGTAAATACAACACTGCAGTTACTCGGTCCTGCCTTATTTATAATTAAATTATCAATGATAAAAACACGATAAAACTAAAAGCTTATTTCCATTGTGGTCCACATCTACAGAAGGTCAGTGTTAGAAGCTTCCGCACAGGTTAGGAAAGAAAAGTCCTCACACTAATTAATGTTCTCTAACAGGAAAGGAGTGCGCTGACAGCTGCCTAGTTAACTTTAGTGACATGACAGAATAACGTACTGGGAAAAATGTGGCCCCTGGCCCATGTATTTTAAGGAGCAAGGAATAAAACTTTACTGCCCTGTAGCACAAACTGACCATAACAACATATATCAGCAGGTTTCACAACCACTGTACGCGTTTTATAAACTGATATCAGTGTTTGATTTCAGGCGGAAAAGCTGGGAAATGTATAATTATTACATAAAAATGCAGTGTGTCAGTTGGGTTTAGCTGGGTTTGGTCCAGAATTCATACACAGATAACAAGTGTAATTTCTCTCCAAGCAGATATGACCGATATGCCCTCTTTATCATGGGAGTGGTATAAGCGCTCCTCGTCTGAATGCGACGCAGGAATGCATAATTGGGGAAAATGGTATGTTTCTAAAACAACGGAAGGCTTTCATTACCGGATCAGGAAGTCCAGAGCGGCCAGCGCGCCTGTGTGCTATACTTATCCCCTGGTGGCAGCAGCGTCAACTCAACGGTACCAAGAGGGAAATAACAGGACGCTCTGACAGATCCCTGGTAGGAGAGCCCGCCAAGAAAAGATACACTTACGGTTATGAGCCTGCGACGAGGAACATTCACAACACACACACACACACACACACACACACACATGCAAGCGGCTAAAAACTTTTGCCTGGAGACATAGAGGAATGAGATGCTCATAAAACATGCATGGTGTGAACTCCAGCACCAGGTCCCAGCTGGGCGCCATTCAGGCTTCGGGGGTTCAACGGGTGCCGCATTTTAAAGGCTGACACTGACAGTCGGTCAACGGTCTTATAACGGAGCTGCAGACAGGAAAAACAGGCGGCTTGTGCCTTTGTTTAACTGTATATGAAGAGATTGTTCTATTTTCCACATAAAATCTCTTTCGTCAGAAAAAGGAAAATCACTAAAACCTACTCTTTCTTGTGCCGCTGCACTTCCTCCACCCTAGGCAGGCTATAAAAAAAAAAAGGAGGAAAAATGCCGGAGGTTTACTGCTGTGCAAACATCCACCTGTAAAATAAACGTCCCTGCTGCTCCGCCTCACCACCAGCCTGTTGGCCTCCGCAACAATCTGACCCATTCATCACATATAGGCCGAGCTGAAACTGGAACTTCACGAGGGAAACGCTCTTTCTAGGCTTTTTTAGCCGTGCGACAAAGGGACAGTGTGTTTTTATTCACAGTGGGCCTGTGTTAGTGGAAGAGGAGGGCAGACGGCGTTGAGTGAGGATATACAGTGAAACGCACAAATGAACTTGGTGTAATACGAGGACGCGCGTGGGCGCCACACGGTACCTGCACACATCCTGTAGTCCCCGGTGGAGACGCTTCCTGCCTGCGGCATCATGCTCTTCATCCTGAAGGCTTCTTCAGGGTGGTTGAAGCGGAAGAAGTTCGACTGGCCAAAACACAGCATACAGCCTGGAAGACAGCACAGACAGCATCGGTATTCATTTGTCCCACACACACCAACAACAGTTTAAACATTTTTTCTTTTACAGTTTTAGGAAATTAAATCAAAGTTCAAGTTCTCTTAAATTGAACAGTTGTGTCCCTCCATCACTCTGAACACAGCAACATATGCTGAATTGTTGTAATTTACTGACTACACGCTGTTAATTTGGTGACTATACGTCATTACTAAATAAAGGAATAGTCTGACATTTAAGGAAATATGCTTATTTGCTTTCTTTTCAAGATTTAGAGGAAGATTGACACCACTATCATGCCTGTATCTTAAATATAAAGCTAAAGCTGGGAGGCGATTAGCTTAATTTAGCGTAAAGACTGAAAACAGCGAAACAACAAAGTTTTAAAGCTCCATATTTTCCTCTTCTCCTGTCTTTTATTTTGAAGGGTTGATCCATAAGAAGATATATTTGTGGTTTTAAGAACCAAAAACCATCTCAGTGTAGTTTTACATCTCCTCTCTCAGGCTTCTCTCTGCAACTCTAGTAACAACAGGTTGGTGAGCCAATCAGAAGAGAGGAGGCTCTGAGCCTCTCTTCTGATTGGCTGACTGTTTAGCAGATTAGACAGTATAGCAGATGTCAGGTTAAGCCAGGTAAAGACAGGTAGGCCAGTGTTTTAGAAGGTATAGTTTCCATTTTTAAATCAAGTAAACAAACCACAGGATGCGGTTTGATGTGTTCATGTCAATCTCTTTACCAGAAGACAATATAATAACAGGAGCGTCAGTGGAGCAGCACAAATTAGATACTGCACAATCAAGTTTCTTCAATATACATGATGTAATGTAGTTGATTTGCAAACGTGTAATTCGATAGCTTTAAAGTATTGCGATGTCCCACTGTATTTGTGTTTTGAAGTTGCAGTCAGCGGAGGCCACGGCAGCCTTCACACTGCTGACGCTGCAGCTCTGCTGACAGCTCTGTGCCTCTGTTTGGATCTGACTGTTTAGAAAATGAAGATTATAGTTACATAATTGAACGTCACTATAAATGTGATAAGAATTCTGCATCTTTCAACCCAATCTGTCCCTTTAACTCTTGAAAGGCGACCTGATCCCCACTGTTTGTGTACAGATTAAACAAACCAGATACAACATGTTAATCAGTAAGCTTTAGAGGCTAGCTGTTTCCTCCTGCTAAGTCTTTATGATAAGTTAAGCTAACCACCTGCTAGCTTCATATCTAACGTCAAGAGTGGTATCAATCAAGAAGAAAGGAAGCAAATAATCATATTTCTCAAAATGTCAAAATTTTCCTTTAATCACCCAACAGCTGTGTGTGTGACCCTGAACAGGACGCAGGTTGGACAGAGACGCAGAGGAGTGACATAACAGCCAGCGGAGGTAAGTAAGGTGAAAACAGGCGTCAGAGCTGCTCTGACAGCATCAGGGGTGAAACCAGTGCAAAACGCTCCAACAGCAACCAACGGGACAAAGAGACTGTGCTGACGCAGATCACACTGCGCTCACCGTCACCGACACAGACACACGAAACAACAAAGCATGAGGGCACAGAGTCTCTTGTTGTCTCATGTAAAAGTGATGATGGACGACACTTTGAGCTGATAAGCTGCAGCCGATGTAAAAGACAAAGTCGAGAAAACATCTCTAAGTATCACACAAGTCTGGGCTTTGCATCAGAAAGAGAAATTTATCATTTACACAAAAACGTTATGTTTTTATTTGCATTTCAAAACTTTTCAGTAAAGCAGGAAACTGCATCAGGGAAATGACATTTTTAATTAGTAAAATACCTTCAACTTCAAATAAATAAATCTGTGTTCTCTCCCTAAACTAAACCCATTGGTTTATACAATCAAACTGTCTGATGTGCCCCCCCCCAACATCCTGTTTCTACAGGAAATACTTCCAATTAAGGAGATAAGATGCTCTTCATATGCTGCGATGACAGAGTCCACACTGAACACACTGACGACAGACTGAATCGTCTGTTTAAAAAATATCAAATGACAAATTTCAAAGGATGTTCAGTTTGTCAGATGTTCCACTGACTCAAATTCACCAGTCCTTGCAGCCTGTGACTCATTTCAGGTTTTCAGATGTACGGCCGTCTCAGTGCATCATCACACCTGTATTGTAAACACAACGATGGCTGAAGCTCTCGCCCAGACTGGCAAGCAAACAGCTGTTAATGCTAACGCTGGCTATGTAGCAACAGCAAAACTTACAGCTAGCTCCTTTAAATCTGCACCAATCAATATTTTTATACGGATCAAATGACTGTGTGTAATGTGAATAAACCAAATGAACATTGTCATCTACTTCTAAAGCTCCTTTCAGATCTGCAGGACGTTTTTAGTGTCCTTCAGCTCATTGTTTTGGTCTTACAGCCCACAGCTTTGTTTAGGACCACAGAGGGCAGCTGTGTTCAGTAAAAGAGAAAGCTCTAACAAAGCTACTGCATGCTAGCAGCCCAGCAACACACAGCAGACAGACACATGTGGCAACTAGCTGGTGACCATAGTGGATCATTTCACAGTTAAAGGCACGTATGTTCCCTTCAGGTGTTGGTGTACACCAAAAAATAGAGCTGAAGTGAGAGTGAATATTGGACTTAATTCACCAGGCGCCCACCTCCACATGAATGCTTACATTGCTCCATATCTGCTGGATGTGTAAATAGCAAAATATGTGCTACCAAGTCTACCATACACTCTTAAAATGGGTTTCTTCTGGCCCCAACATGGCCAAAATTATAATGTGTTGCAGGTTTAAAGGTTCAGGTGAGAGACAAAGAATGCAAATAACTTTTGTCTGTTTACGAAAACTCCACATGGCACATTTAAGTTGGCAGTGCTGCTTTGTAAAATGTCTCATGCAGAGTACACATGATGCTTGTCACATGTATTTTTGAGCGCTTTGGTTCATGTGCTGGTTGATTTTTTTTCACCTCTGTCTGTCAAGAATACAGTGTGAAAAACTGAGCTAAAGTTTGTTTGTTTTTTTGCTTGAACACGTCTTCAGTCTGAAGCTGCAGGCGCACAATATTACATGAGTTATTAGTCACGGACTGACAGAGCTGATCCTCTGAACTGATCAGGCCTGTATCTACTTACATGACATAACTCAGACCCAACAAACACACTCGGTCTCTATGGCGATATCAACCGCATCGACTTTTTCCACACTGGTTTGAAATGTCGAAGCACGTAACTAATGCAGCCCCTTCATGCGCCACATGGCCGATAGCAGATAAGCAATCACATGTTTATTGCTTTCTCAATATAGCGCCGCCATTGTCCCGCCGAGATTATGAGGGGAAAAAGATCTTCCGGGCCGAGCGGAGATAAGATGCCCCGCCTGTCGTCACGGGAAAACACGGGGCCTGAAGACAGGATGGAAACTTCTCCATCACGCAGGAGGCTGAGGTGATGTACAACAAAGCCAGATGGCCTTTTATTCTGTACAGAGACACACACACACACACACACACACACACTGACAGCCTGGGAAGAAACCGCCTAATTACATCACAAGCTGTGGGCAAGGACGCAGCTGAGGCACAACGATGGAAAAGAGGTGTTTGTTATGTTTTGACAAGTTGTGTTCTCTGCAGCCCAGAAGCTGCTTCTGTCACTCAAAACTAAAAATACCGAAATTCCCTTTGTATTTCTTCTAATATGTCCTCTCTGTACCCACATATGCTTTCCAGGGTTGTGGGAGTGTGTCCCTGCACACATGAGCTATGGGGCAGGGCACAGCCACAACATTTACACTCACAATGATACCCACAGGAGATTTAGGGTCACGATTTAGGGTTCATCGAACCTGCACGTCTTTAGACTGTGGAGAGGAAACACAGAGGAAACCCACTGAGACACTCGGAGGAGGTGAAAACTTCAAGCTAGAAACAGACACCAGTCAGCTGGTGTTAAGAAGGAGGTTTTCTCCCCCATTGTCTCTCAGTTTCTCTCTGTGATATTGTCAGGTCGTGACTTTAACCTGTAAAGTGCCTTGAGGTAATGTATGATGTGATTTGGCGCTATACAAATAAAACTGAACTGAACCCTTCTTGTTTTGATTGTTAATCACACCGGTGCAGCGTGTTGAGGAGGAGTCTCAGACTGATTTCATAAGCTGCAACAAGCTCATGCAAGTTATTATTACTGCTAAAGTGTAAAGAAATTCACTTGGTTGCTGGTCTGGTAATGAACACACACGCCACTCGCTGTCATTGGTTGTTGCTTTGTTTTTTCTTTTACCTTTATTCATCCAGGTCGGCTTCGCTAAGAGCAGTGGTGGTAATAAGGGAGGGAGAAAGTGTCCTCTCACTTTTATTCTGCTGATTCTTAGGGATTTATTGCATTTCATGGTCGTCATGGTAAAAACGTCACATTTCCGTGAACTATCCACCAACATCAGTCTCTGGCAGTTCAGTAACTTTGAACAGTGTCTAGTTTAAATGTCGTTACTGGTGAAAAACAACATTCACTAATTGGTACATATAGATTTTAGAGAGGATTGTATTGTGTTTGGGTCTCGGAGCCCCTTCATGACAATCTTCTATATGCCGTCTAAATTAATTTGCACATTGCAGTGTGTCTTGCACACGTTAGGATCATCAGCTGGTAAAGAATTGCTGACTAGCACAGTGGTGCTGCTAAATACCACTTACACTGACACTTTACACTGGTACAACAAATGCCTCATGCTGCGTGAGCCGTCCAAACACAGAGTTTAGCTTATTTGCATTAGCGTTTCTGTTTCGTCTTCAGTATCTGGATGAAGTGGTGCAGAGGTTTTTAAACTTTCCATCAGCGTTCCCTTCAGTGGTCACAACACGATCCTCAACATAATTTTGGTCGGTATTTTCCACAGTTTGAAATTGTTTCTCGATATTTGGAAGTCTCATCAGCAGGAAAATGAGCACGCCATCAGTTTGGTCATGAAAGGGGAAAAACAAAAAGATGCTGAACAAGGCATCTGAGAG